ATAAAAATTTTTAATTATTAAATATTAGAATATATATGCAAAATATTTATACAGGATGTTAGGGCCGGCGCGAGGCGGGTTCCGGCGAACACGCTGAATCCGCCTCGCCCCACATTTTGAAAGGCTCTGCAGTGTACAAAAACTCATCAGACATTTTGCAGGACCTCCTGTATAGCAGATTGAATATTTGGGTGTGTGGAAAATGCAATTGCATAATTCACTAATCGATGACAACTTGCTGCACACTGACATAAGTGCAAGATTTTCTCTCCCGTCTTTACATTGAAATATTTTGTTGCAGCGTGTTGCTGACGTTGACATTAAATGTTGACATCTGCCAAGATTTATGTCAACATACCCAAATTTATTAATTACGTTACAAATAATGTTAACTATGCCAGTAATCGTGGCTTCAGCTGAATGTAGTTTCTCGCGGTTGAAACTAATGAAAAATTATCTTCGATCATCAATAAGCCTAGACTGATTTACATCTCTAGCTATTCTTTCAATAGAAAGTGAAGTACCAAACTCAATTAGTTTTGATGATGTAATCAAAGATTTTGCAGTGAAAAAAGCAAGAAAAATTATGTAATATTCATCTTACAAAAAATATATGTAACATCCTTTGTACTTATAATAAATAATTCTTTATTGTGAAATTGAAGTAGGCCTATAGGATTTGATTGTGTATTCTGATCCTGCAAAATTTTTGAATCAAGCCCTGCAAAATGTCACGCCGGCCCTGCAGGATGTATCTAAATTGGTGTCCATAAATGTAAGGATGGGTTCCTGACAACAAAACATTACAAAAAGTTCATATGAACATGGGTCCGAAAATCCGTCGATAGGGAGTTATAGGGTTTATTGCTAATGGTCGGTACATGTGAGGCATTTAATAACATAGATCTACAAAAATTGCTCGAAGTGACCTCCTCCTGCTTCAATGCATCCTGAGCCTGCATTCCATGCTTTGCTGTACTCTGTTGAAAATTCCTGCAGTGTTTCAAATTTGGTCAAAGCCATTTTGGATCATTTCGGAGGAATCACATTTTCCATGTTGTCAGACCCCTGAACTTCTTGGCTATGTCATAAATTTGCATCTTCTGGCAGCCAAACCAAGCCATGATTTGTGAGGACAACTTTCTGGCACAAAGCAATTCCAGTATAACAGCTCTTCAGTTGTATTCTCATGGGGTTCCGGCGAACACGCTGAATCCGCCTCGCCCCACATTTTGAAAGGCTCTGCAGTGTAAAAAAACTCATCAGACATTTTGCAGGACCCCCTGTATAGCAGATTGAATATTCGGGTGTGTGGAAAATGCAATTGCATAATTCACTAATTGATGACAACTTGGTGCACACTGACATAAGTGCAAGATTTTCTCTCCCATCTTTACATTGAAATATTTTGTTGCAGCGTGTTGCTGACATTGACATTAAATGTTGACGTCTGCCAACATTTATGTCAACATACCCAAATTTATTAATTATGATACAAATAATGTTAACTATGCCAGTAACCGTGGCTTCAGCTGAACGTAGTTTCTCGCGGTTGAAACTAATAAAAAATTATCTTCGATCATTAATAAGCCTAGACTGATATACATCTCTGGCTATTCTTTCAATAGAAAGTGAAGTACCAAACTCAATTAGTTTTGATGACATAAAAGATTTTGCAGTGAAAAAAGCAAGAAAAATTATGTAATATTCATCTTACAAAAAATATATGTAACATCCTTTGTACTTATAATAAATAATTCTTTATTGTGAAATTGAAGTAGGCCTATAGGATTTGAATGTGTATTCTGATCCTGCAAAATTTTTGAATCAAGCCCTGCAAAATGTCACGCCGGCCCTGCAGGATGTATCTAAATTGGTGTCCATAAATGTAAGGATGGGTTCCTGACAACAAAACATTACAAAAAGTTCATATGAACATGGGTCCGAAAATCCGTCGATAGGGAGTTATAGGGTTTATTGCTAATGGTCGGTACATGTGAGGCATTTAATAACATAGATCTACAAAAATTGCTCGAAGTGACCTCCTCCTGCTTCAATGCATCCTGAGCCTGCATTCCATGCTTTGCTGTACTCTGTTGAAAATTCCTGCAGTGTTTCAAATTTGGTCAAAGCCATTTTGGATCATTTCGGAGGAGTCACATTTTCCATGTTGTCAGACCCCTGAACTTCTTGGCTATGTCATAAATTTGCATCTTCTGGCAGCCAAACCAAGCCATGGTTTGTGAGGACAACTTTCTGGCACAAAGCAATTCCAGTATAACAGCTCTTCAGTTGTATTCTCATGATGTCTGAGCATGTTCCAACCATGTTTAGTGCTTTCTTCTTGAGTGATTTAATGCATGTGTATATTTTCATCAACAGTCTCCAAGACTAACTAAGATTGCCCACAAAGAAATTCTGAATTTACCTCAATGACCATGTATATTGGGCACTCCAAATCCATGATATACCTCTGCAATCATATATGATTTTGAAAAATATCAGAAATTCAATTGAGGAAAAGTTTTTAATGTTCTTAGATGTATACGTAAACTCAAAGCTCAACATTATTAATCAAAGCCAAATGATTGCCAAAATAAATCAAGCTATTTTTTGGCTACTATTAGTAATTAAATTATAAATAATTTGATACTAGAAGTAGCCAAACCCAGAGTGGGACTCAAACCCGCAACTCCCACTTACTGTGCAAATGCATTGTCAGTTACACTACCCAGACCTCTGACCAACCCTTTGCTTCCAGACATATTTAATTTTAGACAACCATCCACAGTTATATCTAATATGAAGTTGTCTCCACGCAGCACCTTAAGCAACCATAGATGATTATATCTAAAATTAAATATTTCTGGAAGTAAAAGGTTGGTAGGCAGTCTGAGTAGCATAATTGACAACACATCTGCATAATAAACGAGAGTTGCGGGTTCGAGTCCCACTCTGGGCCAATTCTTTTCTTCCAGAATATTCTAAATTATTTAATAAATATTAATTCAATTATAATTATTAAATTTAATAAGAGATGGCACCTAACACCTGCCTCTAGTACCAAATTACTTAGAATTTAATTATTAACGGTACCAAAAAATAGCCTGATTTGTTACAGAAATCATTTGGCTTTGTTCTTAGATATTTTGTAAAGGCTAGTTCAGAAATTTCTTATGATTATCATGATCAGAAATTTCTCATGAATTTGCAACTTTCTATCAGGGCTGTGGAGTCGGAGTCGTGGAGTTTTGGTGTTTTAGCCGGAGTCGGAGTCGACAAAAAATCCGCCGACTCTGACTCCCTCTTACTTACCAACTTGTTATGTATATGAAATGGAGTCGGAGTCGGTAGATTTTTACGCGACTCCACAGCCCTGCTTTCTATGATTAATTAAAGATAAATTATTATAATAAAAGTTTTATTAAAAGTCTCTTTTATTCCTCACTCTATCTGGTACTGATTTCTCTACAATTTGTCTTTTTAATGTAATATATCAAACTGAAATAGAAATTAAAAAAAAATTACTCACCACATAAATTTTTTCCAATTGCAATTTTCAAGTAACCATTGACACCAAATTCTGTACCCCAAGAATTACGAACAATGTAATAAGGAATATCACCTATAACGCAATCATATATCGCATCAACAAAAATTCTTAAACCATACATTGTCTAATGTTTATCAAAACTTACCAGTTAAATCATAACCGACTATTTGAACAGCATGATTATTATTATCTTCACAATGATATTGAATAATTCCACCAAGATAATCCTGCCATGTTGTGGAATCAACACTAGCAACCAAAGGGCCATGAAATGCCAGTAATTTTAGCATTTCTTCTTCTGATCCTTTTAAACTAAATATAGCATATTACATTTATATTGCACCTATGGTTATTAATTAGATATATAAAGTTGGAAAAGCAAAAATAATTCATAATACATTACAGTATTTGATCAAGATATAAATTTTAAATGATGTGATTATTTTACTATATTCAACATAGAATAAATGTTACATATTTAACATATAGTTATTATATATAAATATAATGCAATTCAGATTTTTCTAAATAAGTATGTTAAATGATATTTCAGATTACCCCTTATTCTGTTAGTGCTATGCATAATTATCATATCTGTAAAAGGGAGATCCATCGGTTTACTGCTTGTTATGTGTGGATCCCATTTTTGGTATCATTATTTGCTATATTAAAGTTATTGTGTTAATTCTTATATTTGTCTTTGTCTTATTGAGTCCCAAGAACAATAGACACATATGACCAGTATTTACACCTGTCACTCATTTCTACCATCCTTCTGCTTAGTTGTTATTTCCTGCATATATATATATATATATATTTTTTTTTATTTATTTATCACAAATTTATTCTTCCTCCCCCACAATAACAACACACAGGGAAGTTTTTAAAAATATGATAAGAGGATACAAAAATGTTCTAACAAAAATCATTTTGGTTAAACAAAATCTAGCTGACATATAAAAACACCTCTCATGTGTACAAGATAAATGAACACAACACCATTCATGCTCTGTTTCAGCAGGTCCGAAGATGGCCTTTTAACTGGTCAGAAACATTTAGCAAGTTTCAAACTTCTGCATACTGCTGAAAATGCTGTCTGTTTATCTTACACGGAGACAACACATAAGTAAACAGGCATCCTTATTTTCAGACTGTCTTTTATTTCACAGTATCCATGTGATACAAGTACCACATATGCATATTGAAATCTAGTTGTCCCACCACAAAGCCTTAAAGCACACAACCTAAAAGTTCATGGAAAGTGAGTTTCTATGAATGTTGTCGGACTACATGCTCCAGAAGACTCCAGATGTGTTCAATGAGATTCATGTCAAATGACTTACTGGCCCATAGAAGCTTGCACATGCCTTATGTTGCCAGTCATTTCTGGGTCTTTTTGGCAGTGTGACTAGGAGCTCCATCATGTATGAACAGAGTGGATGTTTTGACCATCAACCCACCAGTTAATATTAGAAGACTCTCCTTCAATATAGCAATGTACAGTACAGTGGAGTCATTTACATGAACCGTATGCATTTACTGAAATTCAGGGTGTCCATTTACTTATGGGTTGTCTCTGGATAGTGCAATGATTTTGTTATATGTGTACATTTAAAATAAAAATAGAGACATGTAAAATAAATATAATTCAAAAAATGTGCCTTTATGATTGCAAAGATATAATAAAAAGCAAATGAGGAGCAAATGAACAAAACAAATATAAATTAAGAATTAAATATAACACAAATACAAGAACAATACATATGATAAGGAGCAATTATTTATTGTGACATTGTCATAATGCTGGGCTGCAATTTTTAATCATATTTTTAATTTATTTAATTTAAAATATATGCTCTCCGCCTCAAATTAGTAGTGTGTTGCTCCTGTACATCATACTCTTCCTGTTAGCAACAGAGTCATGCTGATCATTATCTAACTCCTTTCAGGGGAAAATTTTTGAATTGAAATGACATGACTTCTGGTATGCATCAAAAGTTCCTATATAGTTAACTTTCTATATCTGGTCTTGATTTACATCTATCTAACTCCATTCCCAAGATTATGGTAGAACAGAGGGTTGGACACTGGACGGACAACAGTTGGAATTTACAGGTCTACAATTTTTTCAAATTGCAGCCCAAAAATGAATAATTTCAAAATACTTACTCTTCACAAGTATAATTAAATTTTAATTCCACTCCTTCTTTTGGCCTGAAATAAAAGTAATTACAAATTCTTTTATTTGTGAAATATTGTAAGAGTTTCTAAATTTAAAACTGGCAATTTATTAAAATTATTTTTACAATTTCATAAATTATATATAAATTGTTGTTTCTTAATGAAACTTTATCTGATTGTATTGTATTATAATTCCAATATAAAAATTAAAAATATTTAAATAACTGCATTAAGAATTTATTTCATGCAAGATTTGTCTAAATTGACAAAGTATATTCTACGAGAAAATATTATCCATTACAGCAAATAACATGTGAGTTAGCTGTTTCAAACCAGTTTTCTAACTATTCTTAAAATAAACTTAAATTATATCTTAGTTAACTAACTTTTGAGCCAGTGTAAACAGAAGATAAATAATGGCAATCCTCAATGTTAGTGTAACATACAGCATTTCATTGATAAGTTTTTATTAAATACGAAATTATCTTAAAGTTTTTTGTACCCTTTAGTGCCTGGGAGCAATGTCACTCTCTGCCTTTTCCTTACTAAACCTATGATCAAGTATCCTCTTCACATGTAGGGCTGTGGAGAGTAATTACAAGTACTTAGGTTAGGGCTTCCTGGATCTTTGTATACATTCTGTTGAGGTGACATTGTCACTTGAAATTACATAAACTGGCTTTCTAGATTTTGTAATTAAAATTTTATTATACGGATTCTGGCACAGGCTCTATGAACCTGAGCATCTCTGTCCTCTCACCAGCTCTGTTCACATGTACTGTACAATTACTATTGTTATTTTGTTATCCTTATCATTTTTTACATTTTTATCACTCAAATCTTGTATCAGAAAATATAAATATTCTCATATACATATGAACAGGGCCTGATTTTTAAATAGGCACAGTAGGCCCAGGCCTAGAGCAGCAAATTTTAAAGGGCAGTAAAATTGGCAGGCATAATATAAGAATTTCACAAACAAAGTGAATAATTCTTAATATTGCAGTATTTATTAACTTGTCTACTTAAATAAATAAAGAGAATAATTTAAATAATCTAATTACATCAGATAGGTAGCTTTGATCACTTATAATGTAAACATATACCACATAATATAGGGTGACCACCCGTCCTACAATTAAACCTTTTGTCCTATGTCCTTCCGCCTAATGGAAATGTCCTACTTTCACAGATAACTACTTCTGGGCCAATAGGTAGTCATTAATAATAACAATAAACTTTCTTTCATATTTTTATATTAAATAATGGGTATAATTGCAACAAAGAGTAGTATTTAAAACAATAAGAGTAGTATATCAATTTAAAATTATTTACTTATCAATTTTTAGTGTTTTGTGCTTTTTTTACTACCAATGTTTATTGTTTTAAGCTGGGTTGTCAAATGTCCTACTGGGAAGCATTATAAAACTTCAAATGTCCTACTTTGACTATGTCAATATCTGGTTACCCTAACATAATACATATTTTCAACATGTGCATTAGCATGCTGCTTGGCATATTCATTGTTTGTTACTGACACATCTCTTTGCTACAGCATTGCCAGGTCATCCAGATCCAATGTCAATGGGGCCAGGACTCAACATATCCAGGATGGACCACCCATTTAAAAAATTCCTGGGGTTTTCAACTTTTGTTTCCAGGTCCCTCAGAGCAGGAGGGCAAAACCTTAAATACTCAGTCATCCAGCCTGTAAATCTTTATCTTGACTTTGTTACAGCATTTCCAATGCCCGTTCATACAAAATTACTAAAAAACAGCAATGAAAAGTAGATAAATTTCTATTTTACCAATAGAATAATTTTTTTTGGTAAATAACAATCCACGAAACCTTTTTTAAAGTGTTATGTCTGTAACAAACTCCACAAATGCTTTCGACCTCCACCGAGGTCTGCTTCAGGTGGGGACTGACCGTGTTTCCTCCTGACCCCACCTGAAGCAGATCTCGGTGGAGGTCAAAAGCGTTTGTGGAGTTTGTTATGGACATAATACTTGTAAAAAAAGGTTTCGTGGATTGTTATTTAGCAATGCAGTGTTAAGTTGTTGGAAGTCATTTTTGTGTTTTTTTTTGGTAATTAAAATTTTTTAAAAATTACTAAATCTCTATCAGTAATAGAAAAGTTACGAAGACCAGAAGACTGAATAGTTAAGTTTCAACCTACCATTCTAAGGGACCCAAAAATGAATTCAGATGGATCAAAAAACCCTAGGAATTTTTTGGAGGGTGGTCCATCACAGATATATCAGGTTTTGTCCCTCACCACTCAGTCACTCCATTGTGGCCTAACTGAACCCACAGTGAGCTTGATTAAAAGGCCCTCTTAATGCCCACAGGCAAAAGGAGTAAAAAAAAAACACTTTCATATAATATTCTGTAATTAAAGTCCAAATTAGTATCAGAAACATTTATGTTTATGTCAGAAAATGTAGCATTCTAGCTTGTGCCTACAGCAGTAAGAGAGTTAAATCTTGCAGGTGAATCTTATATACATAAAATATAAATAAAATAAACTAATATTTTATAATTATTTTACTTCAGTTCAATAGAAACAAAATATTTGTAGTGCTTCCACTGAACTGGAACAAAATGATTATAAAATTATTGCATAAAATTTTGCATGCAGGAAAATATTAAATAATAAATGCAATTTGAATTTATTTCATTTTAGAAAACAATGAATCTTTAATGCAATTATTAATTTAAAATATAAACTTTTTTAAATAAATGAAAACAACTCCAAATTCTTTAAATTATGAGAAAAATTTTGCATTATTGGAGTTCACTTGAATAGCAGTTTCTTGGGCAACCAAGCCCATTGTCAGGAGATATACTGTACAAGTGAATCAGCTCATCTAGCCTATCTTGTATGCTCAAAAGTATTTGAGAAACTGCTACTCAAGTGAATGCCAATAATGTAAATTTTTGTCATTACTGTCATTAAAGTTATTATAAATTATTTTTTAATTTCTAAAACAAAAAATTGAAAGTTCAAACTTACCTTATGGCTTTACAGTTGTCCTCTTTGTCAGTTAAAGGATATTGTTTCTCAGTTAAAATTTTCACTTTATTCTGGAAAGAATAAATATTATACAAATGTGTGTGTGTGTATATTAGGAAATTCATTATAAAAAAATCCTTTTCAATATACATCAAAGCAAATTTCAAGTCTTTTTATTAATGAATAACTTTAGATGCATGCTAATTATCAAATTATTACTCTAAAACATGATAGCTTACAAATAATAATGGTAGAGGGTAGAGGAAAACAAAGAATTAATTGTACTAGAAGATTGGTCATGTTTTTCTTACAAGCATCATAGCCTGATAGCAAAACCTGATGCCATTACTGGAAATCTGAATCCAAAGTATCCACCATGAAATGGTGTCATCTGTCCTCACCTTGTCCTAAGAAGTTCAAGTGCCAGGCATCTTCTGGGAAAGTGTTACTGACTCTGTTCTTCAATCATCAGGGCCCACTGTTTCTGGATTTCAAGGAACCATATGTCACCATCACTGAACAATGATATTGTGAAATACTGGGCAGACATACAATTAAAGTGAAACAACTTGGCAAACTCTGTAATGTGGTTATTCTTCTGCATGACAATGCACACCCGTATGTCACCAATCTCGTGAGGCAGAAGTTACACACCCTTAAATGGGAGACCCTCAACCCCCTGCCTAATAGTCCTGATCTTTCTCCATGCAATTTCCACACCTTCAGTCTGTTAAAAGTTCATGAAAGGATAATGATTCTGGTCATACAATGATGTGAAGACTGTATCAAATGTTTTTTATGCTGCAGCCCCTAGATTTCTACCAAAGAACATCTTCAATCTCATTCAACAAGGGACGATTACATTAATGGCAGAGATGATTTTGTGTAACTTCACACAACTCCTTGGAGTGTACAGCCCCTGAATGGAAACTTTTTGATCACACCTTATATATGGTATGGTACATATATACAATGAAACCATTAAATGGACATTCCCGAATAGTGGACACCTCTACTTAATAGACCTTTTTGCAATCCCCAGACCCTTCAAATTGGACAGCTATTATATACACCTCTAAATAGCAGATGCCATTGTCCATAACTTATCTTATGAAAACATAAAGTGCCACCTTCAATATTCTGAAATAATTAATTATGTACAAAATATTTTAAAACTAAAACAAAGAATCAGTTCGAATACTCTTTCAGAGGAGGAATTTTGATCGTAAATCGAATAAAGACTGGCTATAAATAGGAATGGAGGGAGGACAGGTTGTAAAAAGTTGAATAATATTCATTATCTATTAGAGAAGACTAATCTGGTTAAGCTGTCAATCACCATTTATCATCATACAGATTAATGTTATTAAATTTCTGTGTTATTGTTAAATTAAGCGTACAGTACCAAGAAACCAAACACTCTTCCCTAGTTATTTATTCAACAAGAAAACAAGAACCTTAGTACAGTAGTAATGAAAAAGAAACAGTTTTAAGGTTAAGACAACAGCATTTATTTGGTGTTTGGTCTTGCATGTGAATCTTATATACATAAGTTCAAAGATTGTGTTATGAATGCAATTTGCCAACCACTTTAAAGTGTAGGAAGATATTGGGTTTTCTCGCCTTTATGACATACTTTATGATCTTAGCAGCTTTGTGGTGGCTAAAGTAATTTTTAATAAATTATTTATTGAAAAAAAGCAAAAACGTTCAAAAAATTACACCTACTCAATAACTACAAAGCTGACAAATCCCTACATCAATTTTTAGTAGTTGCTTAGATCATAAATGACGTTATAAATGCAAGAGTACTGAATACATTTCTTACTTCTTGAAGTGGCTAGCAAATTGCCTTTGTAACTTGACATTCAAACTCTTGTTGCCTAAACTCTTCTGATCATAATAACAGTTTCATTTTTCTTTTTTGTTACTTCCACTCAGGTTATTTTTGATGAATTAATAATTAATCAATGTTTGTTTTGTCGTAATTTTTATGTTCCATTTAATTAAAGTGTCCTAAACAAGCTGTTTGCTACTTAGAATTAAATTAAAATGTGATTTTCACAGCTGAAAAGATAAATAATATACTGTATACTGTATATAGTTTAACTATATACGTTACGTATACATTTTGGTATTTCCTATTCCTAATGCAAATTTGATGTTTTTGTAATCCATAGTATTCTTCACTTTATAACGACCAGGTTAAAATACAGTGTCTGCTATTTGGAGGTTATACTGTATATATTCACCATACACACACCACACCATAATTGGAAAATTAAAATTATATAACTGAACTTAATCTATAAGCGTATTTTTAGCTTATATTCAGATTTTTAAGATATGTAATTGAATGTAATATAACAATTACCTCATACATCCAGTCTAAGGCCTCACATGTATCACCACCATCACAACCACGGTTTGTTCCAGTTGCACAGTCTATTACTTGCTGCACACTCAATTCTACAAGTTCACCCATCTTTAAAGCATTCATACTCTCTAATGTTTCTACAGTACTAAATGCCCTGAATAAAAAAGTGACTCGCATTACAATTTTTAAACTGGATTTTTAAAATTTTAATAAACGAAACAACAGCCTTCATTAATCAGGCTATATTATGCTACAATTAATAATTAAGTAAATTTGGTACTAGAGGTAGATGTTAGGCACTATCTCTTGTCAAAATTAATAATTATAATAATTTAATATAATTTAGAACAGTCTGGAAGAAAAGAATCTGCCTAGAGCCGGAGTTGAAGCAGCAACCTCCTCTTACTGTGCGATGCGCTGTCCACAAACTCCTACAGAAGGGAAACTATAATATTTCAAGTGCTGATTCCTGTCTTTAAATTTTTGCATTCAACCAAAAATTAAAAGGACACTTGATAATGTCTATTTGTACTTTCTGCAGATACTTTCCTTGCACAGTAGTGATTTTGTTTCTGCTAACCACAATACACATTTTGCATTTTCCTGTATTGTCACCATTTTTAGTTCTGTAAGCCACTAGTACCATTATAAACATTTGGACTAAAAAAGTTTTTGAGTTATTCTTTCTTATACTGTAAACCACATTTTAGTAGACTGCTTTGTTTTTGTGTTATGAATTTGTGTAATAATAATGATCTTGTTTGGACTCTATACTTCCAGAAAGATATATTATGTTGAATTGATGTTCAATCCATAATCCATTAAATTTGTTGCCAAGATATTCTCTAAATGGGAGATACTGTATAGGACACATGCATAGAGACTGTACGGCTACTCTGCATATGTACTTCTCTACAAATCAAGAATAACTTACCAACATGCACCACATTCCTTCTGACTTTTCACTGGAGTTACAATCCCACGTTTCCTCCTGCAATTAATTGTAAGTGTAAATTTCAATTTTCTTCAGATAATTTTAAATTAAATTAAAATGAATAATAAATAATCTTATAAAAAAACAACACAATTTGAATAGAAATTATTTTTAAAATATTCCAACCATCTAAGTTAATGCAATGTAATTACTCCAGTTTCAAATACAAATTTTAATTTAGCACGAGAATAGCTTCTCTCTTTAGAATTTATTATAGAAAACAAGCTAGGTATGCTTTGTACTAAAATGATTGAGTACTTGAACAGTTACCAAAAATGGATTCAGATTACATTTAGGATCAAACATATATTCTATCTGGCAGTGTAACTCAATTATTGGGGCCAGCAAGGCTGTCAAGAGTTAGAGATTTTTCTCCAGGCCTGGTGAAAAACTAAGGGCTTAAAGTGGTTTCTATCTCTATAAATTAGCATTGTAACAAAAAAAAATTCTTTAAAATTATTTTTTATTAATAAAGAAGCATTCTACATATTTCATTTCAATAGCAAAAGAGACCCTCATACAAGCTCTTGACAGCCTTGGAAGCTGATGACATTTAACATTGTGAGGGCACATGACATTGTATCCCATTATTGGCAGTAGTAATAATATTGTTATTAAAGATAACACTTTAGATATGTCATTAAATATAGCACTCCTGGGCACTAGCATAGCGAGGGGGAAGCAAGAGGGTCTATCATGCCCTGGGCACCACTCGCAGAGGGTTCTGATTTCTTTGTATTGAGGTTTTGGGTACTGATTTATATCTAGGTGGGTGACTTGGATTGCTAACTGCTTGGAATTTTCCAAACAGAATTTCAGTTATTTTGTAAAAATTATTTAGAAAACAAAAACTTTTGGAAATGTTCTGAAAAATGAGCATGGATTTTATATACATGTTTATGATTTTTAAACTAATTTCTTTTTCCTCAAGAGAAGTTGGCATTCCTAATTGTAATTCAAATTATTTTCATTTCCACCAGTTTGAATTTATTTTTCTATTTTTGTCTCTTTTTATCTTCTGTGCACTAAGAGGGCCTGTTTTAATCATAGCCAATATGGATTCAGCCAGGCCTATAACAGAGAATAACAGGATAGTGAGAGAAGGGTCCTGACATATGCGAAACAAACCACCCAAGAAGAATTCCTGGAGTTGAACCCAGGAATTTTTCTTGATATTGTTGAACTCAGGATTGAATCCAGGCAAACCAGAACTGTAGGCTGATGCATTACTACTTCAGCTATCCACCTGTCTCATCATCATCAAGGAAAGGAAAAAGTGTTTATAAATTTGTAGGTTTTCTTTTGCTCATCACTTTTTCGAGTTGGTGTTTTTCTTTTACACTGTGTTTAGAATTTGTTACTATGGAAATCGGCAACCAAAGCATTTATCACATGATATCATTTGAAGTCCATTGTCATTAGTTCAGAACTTAAAAAATGTGTAAACACTTTAAGACTGATAATTCATAGCATTTACATTGTTTAACAGTTCTCTTATACAAAGGATACATATCCTGCTTTAGCAATTTCTATTTTAATTCAGTCTCTACAGTATCTGTGGTAATACAGTAAGATTTGGAGGTGTTGAAGATGAAAAATTTTTGTAATATTTGTTAAACTGGGAAATAACTGTCATTAATTTCCTCTGATATAACTTTTTAGCATCAGTTATAATTGTCTGACTAAACATTCTGATTTACATAAAAACTGCATTTACAAATAACAAAGCAGGTAGTAGAACAGTTTCCTTTGAAAGTCGAATACACTTTACTAAAGCAGTTTCATTAGGCAATGTATTATTTCAGTGGAAACTCAATTACCCAAACTTGATAGAACAATGGGTCTTTTGTGTGAAACTTGTCTGTTTCTGTGTTTTGGTAGATCAAGCACTATGCAATAGTTTCATGAATAATAAATACTGTAATATTATTATTGTATTTGAATGTAAATTAATTTACTGTATTTGCAACATACAAGACACTTTTTCCCCAAAAAAAACTGTCTGAAAATTTGTTGCATCTTATACACTGCAAATATATAGGCTTATAACAGATTTTTATTTAGAAAATGCATAGTTGTTGCAATGTTGTTGTTGTTTGTACTTGAATATTCTTTGTTTTGGTACCTGTATACATTTTTTACAACAATTGTATGAAAATAACAGTACTTTATTTTTCAAGAAAGTAGATTAGAAGTGTACTAAAATTTAAATTAAACAAAATGCCTTTGGATAATAGGGTGAATTTTATACACCAACAAATACAGTACTCAAATAATTTTACATGTACTGTATAATAAGACCTAGTATATGACTGGTGCTACAATCAACAGATGATATAATGATTTCAAGTTTAATAGAGAATTTAGTCTCTGTGGTATGTTCAATGCCACATACTCTGATTTCTTTTATTTGAAAATGAATTTGCATAATCTGGAGTTTCAGATAATTATATCTCAGATAATTGAGTTTCCATTGTATATTATGAGAGTTATCTAAAATAAATAAATAAATAAAACAATATAAGTATTGTATTAATTTAATTATTTAAAGCATTTTTAACATTTTAATTATTCATGTAAAGTATTACCTTACCAATCAACGAATTTGGGAAGTTTCGTTATATTTTTAAAGTTAATTGCCTCTGCTGATCTTCTAAGAACATGTTTATGATTTTTATTTTTTCTTTCAATTTCTTTCTTGTTCACTAAAGATTTAAAAAAGAAAATGCAAGTTTTTAGAAAAAAATTAAAAAAATATATCTGAATTTTCAATATTTTAAAATTAATTCATGATATTACTCAATTGCCTAAACTCTTCTGGAGTCAAATCTGAATATTCATTTAATCCCCACCACGCATCATCTGGATGACTTCTATTTTGGTTTAAAGAATGAATTCGTCTTAAACTTTCCTAGAGAAAAATACATTTTCATTGTAATTAATGCATAAAATAAATTGCTGCTAATGAAATAAAATACATTGTTAATTGCTTGAGAAATGCATTTTCATGTTTCAATAAATTCTGCTACTGAAAAAGATGATGTGATCTCATATTGATAATTTTCCAACCGATCTGATCCAATACTCACATAAAATATATATATTTAAGTATACATACAAAATTTTTTCTTTACTGTATAACAACTGAACAGAGAAATATTGGCTTGATGGGATAAGACAATGAAACAAAAGGGCAATCTGCCAACGGCTATGTGTTCAGTGGTTTCATTCACTCAGCCACTGGTGGGCACAGGGATGCCCAGGGAGAAGTAAAAGGAGCAAATTGATTATATTTTGCATACACATTACACAGACTTAATTTGCTTTAGGGCTCCCAATATGTACTTTGTCCCATGATCCCTATATCCTCTGGGCAGCCCTAGGTGGACACAGTATAGAGTTGAATATATTATACGATATCCTCATCAGTAGTGAAGTGCATAATCAGTAATATATAATCGGTTAATAAACTTTTTATCTTTTTTATGAGATATGCACAGATTTATCTAAACTATTCTCAAATTATTTCAATGGGCCTATATTAGCATATATATAAGATATACAAAAATGATGTCATAAATATGTAAAAGATCTCAAAGGTTAAATTAACGTTTATCTGAAGTTGCAATCTGCAGTTTCAGCTGATATATTTTCTGATATTTAATCAAACCAAAATCATCTAAATTGTAAATAAATTTATAAATTTTGCAATTGCATCGTTTTATGTAGGAAAATGCTAGATATGTGATTTACATGTTGATAGTTGAATATGATACAGTTTAAAAATATCCCTTTGTTGCATGTATATGAATTCTGATACACTTTTTTATTTTGTGATTTATTGTACTGCATTATGAAATAATACTCTTTGCTGCACGATTTATCATTAATGGGCATGTTGCCTGGTAAAGTGGCTTTTCTGCATCTGGATGAATAAATCAATGACATAGTTCATTTTAAATGAAAGGAGCCATGTCATTAGCTTGCTTAGTCAGCTGTGTTAAAGGTTTTTTACTAGGCAATGCAACCAATTATATAATCTTTACAATAATACTTTATTGTAGTTCAACCACTAGCACCGGGATGTTGATACTGTGGCATTTTAATTGTTTGAAATTACGTGTTTCACAGTTATTCTTGTTGACATCATTATTTGGAAATAATTCAAGCTGTTTTTGTGTTAATTTTATGTCTTTTTGGTCTCACAAGATAATTTCAGAAATATATAAGTTCATATAATTGTAGGAATATTAGGAATTTTTAGAATTCAAAAACATAAATAACATTTGCAATTAACATATAAAGGATGATATATCATGTAGTCTTTACTATTTTCAGCATGATTTCAAAGCAATTGATGTCTGACAAGAAAATTTAGCAATATTGGAAAAAATACTGGTTTGAATAGATAAGCATATGGACTAGGCGAGTTGGATAACTCCATCTGCAATCTTACTTCCAACTCCATGATTCTAACACTGAAAGTGAATTAGAAAATATTTGCATATCAGGAACTAACAATTTGATCTCTAATTCTGACTTTCCAGATTTTAGTAACTGTAACGACACCAACTCTTTGCATGTGGTCTACGATTTGGACAGCCCAATTAACCCTTTTCAACATAGTGCTGATGTAAAAAATAGTACCAATGAGAGCATGAACATGTAAATAGACCAACTGTAAATAAGCAGAAAAGTATGAGGTCAGAAGTTGCTTGGAAAGAGGAAAAAATGTTATAGTGAATCAGTGGCACACGCCAGGTTTAATCTTGGGTAGCCAAGTTGAACAGATAAAAAAAATTTTAATGCAAATTCAATAAAATTCCCATTTTATATGACCGCTAATCCATAAGTAGTATAGAGATAGAAGACACAAAACGATATAAATTCAAAATAAAGAAATTTCAATTAGGAAAACATATGACTGTTTTCCTTCCTCTATGAGGGTGTTAGGGCTCCTTGGCCTCCCTCTGGGTGCACCATTGTACTGGATTGTATTAGTTTGTATACTGCAACTTGCTCCTATATAGGTGTTACAAACGTGAAGAAGGCCAAGAAAACTATGTGGTGCAAACTCACAATCAATTACCAGTGTTCAGTGGTTTTATCCACTCTGCCACTGGGCGGCTACTGAATACCACGGCTGCCAACCTTACGAGGAAAAATTATTGTATCTGCCCCTTGAAATTATCGTCCATCTATCTCTATCCGTATTACCACTCACAGAGTCTCTCCACAGAAATATAAACCAGGTTCCCCTATGTCAGAATCTCTTAAACTTTTAATCTACGATCCCTTCTTACAACAAAAACTTTTTAGACTTCATTTTACAATGAAATTTTTACGTGTTATGCACCATATACCTTATAATAGATGATACAAAACAAATCTCTGAATGGGCATAATCTAAAATTTACGTTTTTTCATACAATTTCAACATACCAAGCATTAACAAATATGTAACATATTCCTTTCTTTATATACAGAACTTATTTTATATGCATAAACCTTAGTTTTTCGTACAAAATCCCATTATCGTACGGACATTATCGTACATCGTATGGCACCTGAAATAATCGTACAGATGGTAACTCTGCTGAATACTAACCAAACTTGCTCTTGATGGAGTAGGAAATTATGGATCATAGGCAAGTTTTTCAAATATTTTTTTACAGACGAGTTAATCGCAAATATTGTTGAACAGAGCAACCTATTCTCTGTTCAGTAGGATCGTGTTAAACCAGTACGTACAACCGGATGGCCAATCGTTCAAGGTGGCAGCCTACCGCTGTGAGGAACCCGGGGTCGAATCCGGACGGGTCGAAATAGACCAACATGTTAAAAAGCCCCAGTAATTTTTCGGGTTGTGATCCATCTGGATATATAGGACCCCGTCCCTCACTACCGGGCCGCCCCATTGTGGGCCTGGCCGAACCCATAATGGGCTTTCTAAAAGAGGCCATCTTATTTTCCACAGAGGAGAAGAGTTTTAAAAAACCAGTACATTTACAGAAGCTAGATATTCAGAAATAACTTGGAATATGCACATGAAATCTGAATGTACAGTACCGCACGTTCCTCCTGGTCGAAAGTTACTGAAAATTCAGTCATATGGGAATATTTCAATGATAACTCAAAACTGTTGCCACAAGAAGATCCGGCCCGTATGTCATATGTGAAAATCAAACCCTGTGTATTTAAAAATGCTTTTTATGTGTAATTAAATTAAATCCAAGGGTCATCGATCTTAAATCCACTGAATACTGGTCGTGGATTCGCGCCTGGTCAACGGGCTGATCACGTACAGTTTTCCGGGTTTCCTTTACGTTTGTGACACCTAAATAGAGGCCAGTTTCTCGTAGAAAGCCCTCCCGGGAGTCACCCCCTCGGCAGATCGCGTTGTCATAACCAAATAAACCCATACCCCATGGCCGAACCTCTAGACTTTTAGGTATGTTAGACCTTCTGAAATTTCAATCTTTCATCCCAGTACAGATGACAGCCTGACCCTGGTACGGTAGGCCGGTAGGAACTAGACCCTAGTACATAGCCCTATATCCATTTGGGGGGTTTCCTGAAGAATTCTATTCATAATTTTTTTCTAGGGGCTCCTAGACTTCAACCAAGTCAGCCTTATGAATAAAACAGCCTTGGTAGAACCGGAAAAAACACTACCTAGTTTACTGTGACATCTATTACACTTCGTTGGGACTGATAATGCCTTCTTGCAAAACAAGGAATTCTCTCGCTTGGGATAATAAATTGAAATAGAATCTCAAATTCCACGTTACTTACAGAACAGGAAATGAAAAGATGAGATTGTGGAGATAGATGTAAATTTGTTGGTGCAGTAGATGACGTAGAAGTAGCAAAAACAACTTGGTAAGATGACTGGCTTTATCATTCCTTGGGCCGTTTCCTCTTTCTCAAGTACTATACAACATTAAAAACAAAAACAGAGGGCTGTTACGCGCCTCCAGATGACATTGGAGAGGAGAAAAAAAAAAGGACTTTTTCTAATTTTCAGTGAACGAGAGAGGCGTAAATTACCAAAATGTAGAAAATTTTGGTAATTTTACAGTACTGTATTTAATTTTTAAATAAAACTTTATTATTGTAATACAAAAATATTTACATAATTATGAGATATTCTGTTATTGTAAGAAACGATGAGTATATCGCATATTTATTCATTGCAAACCGATAGAAGTACAGTAGAGCGTCGATTATCCGAAAGTCAATCATCCGAAAGAATTCCAGTCGGCAAATTTAAATTATAGCCAGTGCTGTGGCGCTGCAATCTTTGGCTATGTCTCGGGCTACTCAAATATTTTACGTTTTTGATACTAAATTAACTTCTGAAGTATAATTTTTTATTGTTTTTATATTTTTCAATATATTTATTTTGTTCGTACAAAATAAAAAAATAATTTTTAGCGATACAATAGTCTTCGTTAGGCTAAACATCGACGAAAATTCAACGCGAAGCGACACGCAACGGATAAAAATGTCAAGATGGGATAAATTAATATATTTTGTCGTAATAATCGGTTATCCGAAACACCGATCTTCCGAACAACCCCAGTCCCCAATTGATTCGGATAATCGACGCTCTACTCTATTCAGAAATGATATTTACATAAAAACATAATTTTGCAGCGCAAATATCTTACATATAAAACCTTTAACATAAAATGGCAGCATTGTAAAGGAATTTTTGACAAGATAAGGCAATATATTAGATACAAATTCAATTTAAAACTATTCAAAACGATTAAAATATTGGAGAAAATTGTCTTTCCATTAAAAAAAATTCATAATTTCATTAAAATTTAAGAGCTTGAAATCGTAATTGTTTTTAGTTAGTTTGTTTGGTCTGGTATGGCAACGCAACATTTGGACGATCTGCCTTCTGGGAGGACTTTTTAAGGGTAACTGACCCCTGTTCAGGCGTTACAGACGTGGAGAAAACCCAGAAAACTCTACGTTGAACTCACACCCGAACTCTCAGTGTTCAGGGAATGGAACCGCTCGACCACTGGTGAGCCAATTGTTCTTAGAAATTCTTATCTCCAGAAAGTTATCAACAGTAAAATTGTGTTTCTACACGTTATTTAAATGTTTTAATTTGTTAATATCTTATTCTAAAAACAAAAATAAATAAATAATTAAAACAGCAGTCATTTAAAAATAGATTTCTCAACACTAGAAAACACGAGTTGTTTTTAAAAATAGAAGAAAAGCATTTAAAACTGATAAACCTCTATCGAAATTGTCTTATTCACTAAGAAAACATAACAAAACAATAATTTCTAATCTTTATCACTGTAAATGATAGAAATCTGTGATAAATCTCACCTTAAAAATCGCTAAACGTTCGGAATATTCGGGAGTATCGGGTATATATGGTTTATGGAACTTTTTAATATATAAATCAAACAGATCTTTAGCATCTTCTTCGTTATTGTCGAAGCTCAACGAGAAGAGAAACAAACAAATTTTTATAGCCAATGCTGTGTAAATATATGATAACCACATGTTCTATAGAGAGACTAGAATTTATGTTAGATATCTTATCTGTATTTTTCGATATAAATTAATTGCGTAACGCTTACGAAAAATATCTAAACCATTACATTATTGATTTAAAAATTGTAAAATAATTTAAAATTAAGCCTTTTTTTTAATAAAAATGTAACGTGTGTAATCGTTTTTTTATTCATTACTTCGCGGTTTATACAGTAACTTAAATAATAATATTATTGTGTTATTATGCGAATATACGTTAAACACATTAAATTGAAATCGTTCATCAAGAAGTATTATCCTAATTAATGTCTACTGGAATTATTTTTAAAATCAATTATTTGTTTTGTAGACTAATTATCCCTCCCTGGAAAATTTTATGCGGATGCCCATGCCGAGAGATGAGGTTGTGGCGAAGATACTAGTCAAACAATTAACTCAACCAGAGTCGGTAGATTAACCTACCGACTCTGGTCATGCCTCGTCCCTCACCACCCGGCCGAACCCATAATGGGCATGTTAAAAATGGGCCCTCTTAGTTCCCACAGGGTGGAGAGTTAATAAAAAAGAACATAATAAATACAATTATAAATTTTTTCTATTAATTTTTAATAATCGAAAAATATTAATTTTTATTTTTAATTCATTTTAAAAATTTAATAACCTTCTCATTTATTTATTTATTTTTTGTGCTAATATTGGGCTATTTACTAAGATAGTTAACTATAGTCAGTGAAGTATAAAGCAAAGGGAATTCTGGGTCTTTCGTCTGTGTGTAAAGATGGCGTCGCAAATATCGAAGAAGAGAAAGGTAATTTTCATAAGAAATTTATGGATGTGATGATAAATATTTTCTATATATAACAAATTATATATGATAAGCTCGATGTGTTATTACATTAAGTAAATTTATGCTGTTTTTTCCCGATTTCTTTGCGTGGATGATGATGGATTATACACGTATCCAAAAACATGAATGCCGCTTCCATCTGTTAATTTGAAGTATTTACGTATCATTTAAGTTATTTATAAAAAGGATAAACAGAAATACAATTACTTTGGATATTTTACCAGTTAATAAAGCTTTAACTAAAAAAATTTATCAGATTTTACAAATTATATACATATAATAACCATATGATTTCTCCTACAATTATAATATGTGATATTGACCAAAAACAGTGTAACTGTAATTGGCAATAATGCCTTAAGTGGTCAGAGTTCATGAATCCTCTGAGAATAGTACACAGAAATCACAGTATCGGTAAGTTAGTTATCAAATCCAATATAGTCCTCAATCCCCTTGTTGGTAATTATTTCTATTAAGACCATGATGTATTTTATTTTTAAAGGAGACATATTTAATAGACATTTCCAAAATACGCACAATTTTTTCTGGGCTATCCATATGTAAATTGCTATAAACAAAAAAATTATATGAATATTTACTGACTGTACCCAATTCAAGACACCATTGCTTAAACTTGTTGTCGTGGATCGACACGGTGGCTTGTGGACACACAAAGTATGTTGCTCAATATCGCTTCGATGTCACTCGGTTGTGTGACTACGGCAAAATGTAACTCTCCCCAGCCACAGGAAATCTAACATGTTTCTGGACAACTTATTCTTCTTGCAGAAGAATTTGTTCTTGACGATGTTTATATCAAGCATTTGATATCTTTTGTTGCATCTGACTAATATTTATCATGATAATCTACATCATAATAGAATTATTGTCAATAGCAAGACATTTATCTTTGTTTCTTCTTATAGTCAAAAAATAAATAATTGGAGAAATCTTGTTGTTATTTTAACTATTCACTAACAACAATTCATAGGAAAAAATTAAAAACTAACTTGATGCTGAAACTCTTTGCTTGTGACAAATTGAACTTTGCTTCTGTATACTCTAGCACAATACTACTAAAATTCAGCATTGCCAAATGTTTTTAGGGCTGTACTATAGATTACCGTCTATGGAATTTTGGGACTTCAAGTATATATTTGAACTTGGGACCAAGATGAGTTCAACGGTATCCTACTTTTGGACCAGAGACGAAAAATAAGAAAGTTTTTCCCGATTTCTTTGTGTGGATGATGATGGATTATACACGTATCCAAAAACATGAATGCCGCTTCCATCTGTTAATTTGAAGTATTTACGTATCATTTAAGTTATTTATAAAAAGGATAAACAGAAATACAATTACTTTGGATATTTTACAAGTTAATAAAGCTTTAAGTTAATTTCTTGCCTTTCACAATGCATTCTATGCCATTTTAGTTTTTCACTAGGTGGCGTTTGACTGTTCATGCAAATTGTGCCAAGTGTTTAATGTCACTAGTTATTGATTCACGATAGTTCTTGAACAAAAGAACAAAAAAAGGAAGTGATGCTTGACTGTTTGTGCAATTTCTTGTGTTTCTTGGTGCTTTTTTTAATGGTTTGCAGACTTTACTGCAAGATGGTGGTACTAGCAACTATGGTATCGTCTGCATGATAACTTTCTTATTTTTCGTCTCCGGTCCAAAAGTAGGGTATCGTTGAACTCGTATCGGTCCCCTCAGTTCAGATATATACTCAAAGTACCAAGATTCCATAGGTGGTAATCTATATACAGTAATACCCTGACTTATGTGAACCTGGAGTTATGCGATTTTTAAATCTTGTCGATTCGTCTTTTCTTTGAGCGCCAAGCAGCTCTTGATTACTCACTCCCCCCACATTATTCTTTAGCCTACACATTCGGATGTGTCGCGCAGAATCAACGCATAATTACAATTTATTCTGTGTTTGTTATATCTACAGAGACTTGAAAGATTCTATGTGGTGATTTCTTGTAACCGTGAATGAATCAAAAGACGAGATAAGATTAATGAGAACATTTATTAGCTTACATACATCCGACTTGAATTTTACACAAATTGCGAAATTATACCCCGACTTACACGAATTCCACTTATGCAGTTATTGCTCGGTCCCACCTATCGCATAAGTTCGGGGTATCACTGTAATCCCCATTTTTAGTGTTTGTAGCCAAAAATTTTTAAAAATTAACCAACTCAAAAAGTTCCTTTTTAATAACCCGAGATTTGACAATAAAATAAATAAAAAAACACACCATTCGTGCTTTTCTAGCAATAAGTTTACTCATAATAAATGTTTTTGGTCAATTTACAGTTCTGTAAATTGATTGGAAATAAAGATCGCAAGACTCAGTAAATTACCGCGTGTGCATATATTTTATGTCCAGAACACTCATTTTATCTGCAAAGTAGATTTTAACAAGTTACGCAACAAATGATCTTGTCATGACGAACTATAAAAAAAATAATTTTGCTATGTAATACTCTTAATAGTTATTAATTTGCTATTACAAACGATTTATCAAACTATAATTATTTAATTAATTTGAAAGTTGACTAATAGATTCCTTTATTAATTAAGCCAATACATACTCTATTTTTACTTAGAAATAGATAAATTCCATTTATTATAAAGCAGACAAACAAAAAATTTATTTGGAAAACACAAATATTTGTTTTATTTGGGTCTCTAATTAATGAAAAATGACAAAACACCATTTTAAAGTGCATTTTTATTCAAATAATGTATTTATAAATAATATGTAGCCCAAAAAGTAGCCAATGTGCTAAATATTTTTTACGCCAAACTAATAAAAGGATAGCCAGATCTTGCAATGCTGCTCAAATTGTGCTCTGTGAACAAGTGCTGATTCATTTATTGACAAGACTATATGTTGTTTATAAAATCGTACTGCCCAATGTTCTTACCAGCATAGAGGTATGAAGGAGTACACGCCAAGAGTTGATATTTGGCACAGAGTATTAGGTGCCCAAATCATTTGCGCATAAAAAAATCCAGACTCATAGGTAGTCAGGAGACTGAGAATCAAGTCAAAATAAAATACAAAATGGTGACCCTCTTCTACAAATAGGCAAAACAGCCACCTCACCCCACCAAACTTGGGTAGGGAAGAGTACCACCCACAGTCATTCTAAGAAATGAACTCTGACCTTAGGACCGAACACGTTTCTTCTATGTTAAATAAAATTTGTAATCTAATTTTGTAAATTTGGGAGTACTTCAAATATGACGTTAAAACAGTTTTATGTCGTTACAAGTGGGTTTTTTTAACATTATCTAGTATAGTAAAATCGTAGGACCAATAAAAATTTGACGTTATATTAGGGTTGTCGTTACATTCGATGACATTATAATTGGGTTAAACTGTATATTGTTTGTGCAAAATAAAAAAATAATTTTGTATGATACAACAGCCACGATTATTTTTTCAAAAACGGGAACTTTTCATTATGCATGGACAAAAATTCAACCCGGGCTGACATGCAACGGAGAGAAATTTTGAAATTAGATAGGTTTAATTTCATTGAAGATGCATCATGGACGTGGCCGCGAAGTTTGAATGATGGTGCCCAAAAGCAGTGATATCAAAGAAGATAGGAGAACGAGGCCTGCCTTGAGCATCAAAGTGATTCCATCTCCGAGACATAGTCTTGTCCCAAGTACAGTTTTGCTGTTTTACTTGTAATAATTTAATTTCACAAAAGTATTGGTGCATGTGGTATTGGAATGAGAGGGGGGAAATTGGTCTGTGAACTCAAAACATTTGAGAACATTCAATGGAATTCTACAATTTAAATTGTTTTGCAATTTTAATTGTAGAATTCCATCAGGTGGCAACACAATTAAAATTATTTTGCAAAGATTCATCACCAGGGAGCAGCTGAAAATCTACATGGTAGCAGTGCCTGCTTCTAGTAAATAGATAAAAGTGGTAAGGATAGATGGAAAGAAGACATCTATGGCATTGTCAGTTCCGATTTTTAAACTTGTGTTTTTAATTGGATATTTTTTCTGTGTTTTTAAAGGAACTTTTAACTCCGGTATATCGAAAACAAAGTCATGAACTCTCATTGCAATTAATGGAAAATTGAAAATTGATTGATCAAATTTTGAGAACAAAGAATTCTGTAAGCCACATAGAAGAGGCTCTAACACTCGGCCTCGGTGAGATAAACAGACATCCACTGAAGCTCAACCTCTCATCTCCTCCTCGTCCAACTTGCCCTAATTCCCTCCCTTCCAGTGTGAACATCATTTATGGACAGCTCTTATACATGTATATGCAGTCTACATATAAATTTTCTAAAAGTAATTTTTATCAAGACTTCAATTTGTTGAAATGGATGGACTGAGTAAGCATTTCTGGGATATTCACATCCCAGGTAAGAAATGAGACAATGATGTTGAAAACATGGATCAGATGGAAAAGATCGTAGATCAGTTATGAAAGTAAGACTATACCATAATGTGAACATGTGAGGATGATGTCAGAATTGCATTTGATAAACACTATTTGATTGATCACTACCAAATGAGAAAGGCATAGGCAAGTTATAGATCTCATCTCTAACTTTCTGCCATATTGTAGATCTTTACCTGTTTTGACAAAAATCGTTATAATTTAATAACTCCAATTTTACATTGCAGTTCTTTTAAATACATTATCTTAGTTATCTGTAGATTTTTATCTAGGTTAGTCGATTAATGAATTTGTTTTATTACCTGTTTTGATGCAATCATTAACAATTTTCACTTACAGTTTGTTGCAGATGGTGTTTTTAAAGCAGAATTAAATGAATTCTTGCGTCGTGAACTTGCTGAAGATGGATACAGTGGAGTTGAAGTTAGAGTTACTCCAACACGAACGGAGATTATCATCCTTGCTACCCGAACTCAAAGTGTATTGGGAGAAAAGGGAAGGAGAATAAGAGAATTGACATCTGTAGTTCAAAAGAGATTTAACTTTCCTGAAGGAACAGTTGAGGTAAATATCTCATTTTACAAATTTATTTTCGTGTTAGGAGGACCAGCCAAGTTTTACGTGATTGTTTTAATAATCAAACATATTTTAACTCACAATCACATGAACTAGTGGTGATTTTCCACAATTACTAGTTTTATGCAGACATTTTTTGGCAAATTCACTTCTTTATCTGTGCAGCCTATCCATCAAGTTTGAAGGGTTATGGAAGCCTAGTCAAGGGCATTATTCTGTGAACAAAACAATATCTCATAAACTAAACAATGTATGGCATTGAATTTGGTATGTGCAGAGAAAGCACATTACAGGACAAATTTTGCTGGCAGAAACTAATCACACAGGGAATACACCAGTAATTGACTATGTGCCTAACTGTTCCCTATGTGATTAGTTCCCTTCAGCAAAATTTATGCTTACTGCTAAAGAATTGTTAGGAGAACAAGTAACAATTAAACAACTTACAAGACTTTCAGAATCACCCAAATTTGAGGATTGGCAATTGTGTACATTGTAATTATACATTGAAAAATTGGCAGAAAATCATGATATGCATGTACATGTGTTTAAAAGTAAGTGCATTTGATTGCAGGTTAATTGAATATTGCCATTTGGTTAGTAATTGTGCAAATATATTATAATGAATCTCTGCTTTTGAGCCTTGGCAAAGATTTTAATTCTGTGCAATTAAAATTTATCTGACATTGGAATTTAAGATATTGAGTATTTGTGTTATTTTATTCTGTGGGTTACTTTCAGATCAATCACATGCATTTAATCTCAAAGTTAAATTCACTTTAATATATAGAACTACTCTCAATGTGTTGCGTGAGTGTAAATCTTTGGAATAAATGGGTGTTACATTATTTCAAAAAACCATTATTTGAATTGTGTACTGTTGAACAAGAGGAGGGATATGATAGGTTAGATCTTTAACATGTAAAGAATTAACATTACTTAGTGTTTTCCAGGTACTCTTTTGGCTGGATGATCTGCATGGCTGATTATACTGTTTATCTGGCTAGTTAATCTGGTGAATTGATGTCAAAGTAATGATTCTTGTAAACTGTAAAGTTCTGTTTCAATCTGTGAAAAAATAATACAGAAATATATTTTCTTGTATCATAGAAATGATCTATAAAATTGAATTTAAAAATATTTTAGCTTGTTTTGTTGTCACAAGCTGTTTCTGCTTTCAACAACAGAGTAGAAAATGAGAATGGTTGATGTGTACAGATAAGGGATGACAAACCTATGGCACATGCCCAAAGTAGCATTTCAGGAGAAATCATCTGGCACACAAATTATATAATTTCAACTTAGCAACAGTCTTTTTCAATCAGTTTCTTTAAATTTATTCTAATTAAAGCATGTTTATTTAATTTCTTTAAATATTGTTGTTTGAAGTATAAAATTTTGGATTGCACCATTTTTAAATATATATATACTTGCTGTATGGCACACTAAAAATGTTTGCCATTCCTGGTACAGATTAATATAGTAGATTTAAGAAAATGGAAGTATTGATAGCTTATGAGGAAACATGAATGTATTGTTATGTATTGATGAACATCAATGATTCTAACATATTCACTGTAAAAACAAACTTTCCTACCTAAAGAGATTTGATAATACAGTACTTCCTTTTGACTGTTATAGCATGCAACTGTACTGTTTGACTTCATCCACATTTTTAGGATAACATTGTATGAAAGTTGAAGACTGCCTGTACAAGTAGTTCACTTGTGTGAAATAATATCTTGTAATTATGGTATGTTCATGACCTATATTGGATATTAAGTTTAATTCTTAGCTGTTGTGGATCAAATAGATTTTTACTTTAAAATCCAGAAACACTCCAAGTATTTATAAAATTATGAAAAATCACTTTATTGACTCAAAACCAAGATTTAAATCACACAAAAAATACACTTTAGAGTAATTTCCAGCTTTAATTTCAAAGAAGCTGAAAACTTTTGTCAAAAAAAAAAAATGGAGATGGAAATGTTCTCTAAGATATATTTTTTCATGTGATTTATTGGCCCTACTAGACTATTTTTTCCTTGTAAAATGGGTGTAATTAATAAATCACTCTCTCTAGCCAGTCTGTAATATAATTATAATGATGATGATTTTAAATATTTACTCTTTTAATTGTAGTTGTATGCAGAGAAGGTTGCTTCTCGTGGTCTCTGTGCCATTGCACAATGCGAATCTCTTCGGTACAAGTTGATTGGAGGATTGGCAGTACGAAGGTAGGTTTTTGTTTTAGTAAAAGATATATATATATATATATATATGTATAATTTCTTTTTAATTACTTAATCTAAAACTAAAATTTTCAGAGCATGCTATGGTGTATTGAGATTTATTATGGAAAGTGGAGCTAAGGGATGTGAAGTTGTAGTTTCTGGGAAACTCAGAGGACAAAGAGCCAAGTCTATGAAGTTTGTAGATGGTCTGATGATTCATAGTGGCGAACCCACTAATGATTATGTTGAAACTGCTGTTCGTCATGTTTTGTTAAGACAAGGTATTTTGTGAATTCAAAAAAATTCAGGTATTTAAAATAAATCCACAAGAGTGACCTTCAAAATTTTTCTTCCCAGGTGTACTTGGCATAAAAGTAAAAATTATGTTGCCATACGATCAGAACGGAAAGACCGGACCCAAACGACCATTGCCCGATCACGTAAGGATTGTGGAACCAAAGGAGGAAGATCAGCCACCACAACCCTATAGTGAACCTAAAAGTGATAAGCCATCTGTAGTTGCACCAGTATAATGTAATTATTTTGGCATTTCTAATAAAAATGAAGTTGTGGAACAAATTGATTTTTATTTTCTGAAATCTGAACTTCCAAGAAATATGTTTGTTTATAAATTTTTTTCTAAGTTTCTCTGTCTTTAAAAATGCTAAAATTTAGGCACTTCTTTCTGGTCTGAATATGAAATGAGTGCTTGTCACTTACAGTATAGGATATTTGCTCTTGCTTTGTAAATAATTTGAGCTTTAATGCACTACTACACCAGATGGTTCAATATTGAAAATTAAGACTGAGGACGGATGGTCACCTTAATTTCCAGAGACAGTCCTTTTTTTTTTTTTTTTACTGTAATCTGGTCACTACCACAGTTTTCCCATTAGAGGACATGCTCAATTTCTTCAGTATTTCCAGGTAATTTTTGGGGGAAATGCCTGAAAAGGACCCAAATTTGAAACGAGAATGAGCAATAATTTATTTTGGCATTTTCACAATGCTGGGCTGCAATTTTCCATCAGTATTCTCAATTTTTTTAGTAGTCTCTTACCCCTGTACATCATACGTTTTCTGTTGGTCATGTCAGTGATCTATTGCTATCTAACTCTTTTCAAGGAAAATTTTTGAATTGAAATAATGTGATTTCCAGTCCAAAGCAGAAGTTCATGTCTAGTTAATCAGGTCCTGCCACTGAGCTATCCATATCTGATCTCAACTTTCATCTAACTCCATTCTCAAGATTAAGGAAGGACAGACAGCTGATAGTGGGAATTTATATGTTAACAAATCTTTCAAATTGCAGCTCAAAAAAAAAAAACATAAACCTTATTGAAGGAGAGCTATTTGATTGAAGCAAACAAGCTCAATCAAAATTAAAATGGCTGCATTCAGCACACTCAACAGTTCCAGAGCTATTGAGTATTTTTCTGCTGAACGCCCTCTACAGTAGCTGTTTTGACATCACATTTGGTAGCGTCTTTCATTTACACTAGCTGAAAGTGACTAATGACTTTTTGTTCCAATTCAAAGTCACTCATCGTTCAGCAGATCCAGATTGCTATGTAACAGCTGCTGATTTGCTCAGTTACAACTGTTGAGTCTGCTGAATGTAGCCAACATTTAGGTCTCGGTCATGTATGTACTGTACAGTATAGTACTTATACAGTATAATCAGGCTGCTACTATATCTAAAAAGTGATGATTGACACTTGTCCTCAGACTTGCCAAAAAAATCTGGTCACCCTATTAAAACAGCAGTCTATATGCAGATCTGTTTTAAGTTCTTTTATGTTAGAAATCTTTTAGCTTTCTTAACTGGCTTCTTGATAGTAGTAGTTAATATTGAAATTTAGACCTAGTTGTCACTGTATATACACTATTTAATGGTGGTGTTATAATCTTGAATATATTTTAAGATGTGGATACCAGTAAAATAAAAGTTAAAAATAGCAAAATTGAACATTGCAACTTGTTTAACAATCTTTACAGCTTTAAGAATTTTAGTGTGCTGTACTTTTGAAGAACCAAATTCCTCACCAGAATGCTAAATTTATATAAAAACAAAAACAATGATGAAATATTCTCTTTTTTTTATTGTATAAGTTTGAGTATATTCTTATGAATAGTTCATTTAGTGCTTTAAAGTAGGCCTTCTAGAAGTCTATTGCAAAAATGAATAACATTAAGATGTGAAAAATATATATAAAAAATGTTTTAGTATCTATAGTGTTTGTGATATCTAATTTAATTTCCAAGTGAATCACTTTTCAACACAATACAATGGTTGACCTGTCTGAAAGTAACAAAGCCAAGCACAAATATCTGATAAATATCCTTTCTGATTTCCTTGTAAATAGCATGTTATCATTAAGGATATAATAAGCTATATAAACATTTTTTTTTTCTGTAAAATTTTATTTTTAATAACAAAATTACCTTTAATTGTAGGATATAAATAATCTTGGCATGTATTGAATTTAGGAACTTGATACTTCGTAATCAGAAAGAGAGATCAATGTTTAATTATACATTCTGTAACAAAACCATCTTAGAAGTTACCAAAAAAATAACCTACAATGAGATCAAAAAATTGTGAACACATTATAGTTTTGCAAACAGGTAAATGGATTAATGAGTAAGGTCAAAAGGAATCAAAGTTACCTTCACTTAACTAATTGAAAATAAAATGTATTTGATTAATTTTTGTCAAAAAGGTTTTGGCCACAATTGTATGTGGATTTTGAATGCCTTAGACAAATGTACTTGATACAAATATGTTAATGAATATCTAAGAGATACTAGTTCCTGCTACAATGAAGAATATGTATTTGTCATTTAAACTAAAACCTGATTTATAGGCATAGAACTAAAAATGACAAATATTCAGATATGATCATAATTAAAATAGTTCAGGTGTAAGTATCTGGAGGGACTTGTAGCTCCATCTCACCAAAGGGCGACAAGAAAAAAGATCTCGCACATATGATGTATATGTGTGCCTGACAACGTTGAGCAAAAATTGTAGATCTGGAAGAAGCATATAACAAAACTTGAAATTTAAATTTAGTAATCATGCTTACTGTAAATTGTTTACCCAAACTCATGAACTCCTGTTAATCTTGCTGCCTTTTGTTCTTATTCATATTAATAATTATCCTCAATTTTTAAGATTAATGTTAATCACAACTTATCAAATATTGTTAATGACTTAAATATTAATGACTCAATTTTCTAAAATATATTAAGCTTAAACTACCTTATTTTCCTGCCTGATTATGTGCTAAATTCTTGATTTCATAATGCAGATTATAGGCCATTACATATGTGGTGATTTTACCACACAAAATATTAAAATTTTACTTTTTATTACATCAGGAAGTCATCTTGACATGATGAGAATGTCTTCTGGTTGTTTGTGTATTGGGCAAATTATCCATTCCATTTCTTGTAAATGAAACAGTTATTTACATGTCCATCAGCCCTCCAATAGACATCTAGTCAATCTTTGTTTAAATATGTTTTAAGTGTAATAGACCCCAAACACACTTCAACATTTTTGGAATAAAAGTTGTGTATGCAATTTGCTGTCACATGCAAAAATTATAAGATGCTATGTATAATTTAGATTGCATGTAAATTTAAATACAAACAAACATACAAATCATTGTTGCATAGTGTACATTTATTATCCATTATAGCAGTGGTCTCCAACTCCCGGGCTGCCCAAGGAACATTAAATTATTTCCATTTTATTTACTATGGTGTATTTCCTTGGGTTTGTGCGACTTTTAATGGACGACGGAACAACAGAATAAACTGGACATAAGAAACACACTTCGGGTATCATTGTCTCCTATTACCCCCAGAGGGAACCGTCTCGTTGCAATGAAACAAGCTCTCATTGATTTAGCGTTCTAGTGAGTTAAAATGTTAAATCACATTATATTCATTTTTTGGTGTAACTGTATTTTATTTTGAAGGCATGTTTAAATACAATTAAATTAAAATTATTAAATTAAATCAATCTAGAATATAAACAATCAACGTCCCCCTCAGTGGGCTGCGGTAAAATTATCAAACTGTCCTGTCCGCGGCAATAAAAAGGTTGGGGATCGCTGCATTACAGTATTACACTTAATTATTCTACCATTCTGTTTGGTTTTTTTTTCCTTTTTGTCCACTCTGCCCTGTGAGCACAGAGCTTTATTTTTTTTCTTATTCTGACTGCATAATGAGACGGCCTGATGTGTTAGAACAGAGCATCCACAAAAAAATTGTTTAATTCTTTTCTAGCTTTGAAAATACATTTTCATTATTGTCCTTATGAATTGCATCATTTTATTAACTGATTTATGATACATCAGCAAAGGACAATGCAAACTTACACAAATTAAGACAATATTTATGTCAATGAAAAATTGCACCAGCAGATTATAGACAGGAAGTTATGATGTTTGCACATAAGTGAGAATGAGAAGAGACATTAAAGATTTTTGTTAATTTTATTTGTATTTGTCTTAAATTGTTCAGCTGCTGTTCTTTGAGTTTCTTGGTTTTTAAATTTTTAGTAAAATCTGGTTATTAATCCTATGCTATGTTTGAAAAATGTTCGTCAAATCCCGTAAGTTTGATTTCAAAAGCAATGTTTACTTTTTTTTCCAAAATTTAGTTATACACTTGTTGACAAAATGTCTGGATTGTAAAAATATTTATTTATCTTCTTGGTAAATAGAAAGTCCATCCTTAGATTTTGTGACTGCAACAATCCTTCTAACAGTAAAATCTAAATTATAATTCTTGACTGGAATTCTTTCAAATCCATAGAGTTCCTTGGAGGAAGGTTTTTTTGTGGTCAAGATTGATTTTGCATTCTGGTTCAAGTGTTCTAAGGGATTAACATTCAAATTTTGAGCTAGACAGTTGAACTTTGATTACATTCTTCTCAAACCGGATTTACACACATCTCATATTGTGGCTTGAATAATACATACCAAGTTCATAGCAGTCCATGCTAATCTATCATGGCTCCACTGTAAATGATGTTGAGGTGCTAATGGCAGGACACACAGCAGTTACCGTGCATGCAAATTTACCTCTGCTAATTGTTTGCCAATGATATAAGAAGAAAGGGGGTTCTATATTGAGACTTACACTTGTCTGGATGGTATACAAAGATGATGTCATTATTTTCTTCTAATCATCTCTCCTGATGGTGTCTGGACATCCAGTCTGTTTACCATGTGTGTGCCCTCATGCTCTAATACCACTTCAATCAGGTCAAAATGGTCCAGATGCCAACAAAATGCTCATCCTGATATGTCTTTTCTCACTGTGAACTGTGTAATGTCTTTGAATTGTATAGGCATGCCTGGTGTTCAGACTCCAAACAACTACATCAAAAATTCTGAATAGTGAGCTTTTTTTATAGCACACTGGAATAAATTTTAAGGCACTAGTAGCATTGACCTGGCTTGCAATTGGACCACAACTGTGATCATTTGCATACTTGTCTGAGACCTAACTGGATGCAGTTTTGCAGTAATCAGACAATTCTATCTGGGTGTGTAACTTT